CGCGGCACAGGGGGACGGGACCAACCCGGGGACAAGGGAGGGAGCCTTGCCCGGTTCCAAGATGGCGGCCGAGATCCCGCCTTCCCGTCCCCTCATTTCAGCTGCCCAGCTGAGGGGGAGCTGGGCGGCTTCCGGCCCGGGGGGGCTCCCCATGGCGGGGAGGGGAAGATAATAGGGGATAGTCCCTGAGGGAGAACTCATGGGGAGAAGGGAAGACTCCCGGATGTGGGGGAGACTCATAGGGGGAGGGGAAGAGAAGGGGGGGATTCCCTGGGGGATGGGAAGCACTCATGGGGGGAGGGGAAGACTCCCGGATGTGGGGGAGACTCATGGGGGGAGGGGAAGAGAATGGGGGTGACTCCCTGGGAGATGGGGGACTCTGAGGGTGTGGGGCACACTCATGGGGAGAGGGGAAGGGAATGAGGGACTCCTTGGGGTGGGGGGGAGAAGGGGAGATGCCATGAGGGTGGGGGACACTCAGGGGGGGGGAGGGAAAGAGAAGGGGAAACTCCCTGGGGGAAGAGAGCCCCTCATGGGTGGGCAGGACCTGTTGGCAGTCTCTCCCCTTGGCGCCGGTCTGCACCTCTCAACCCGCATGAACGGCCTGAAGGTGGGGCCCGAGCCCCTGGGAGAGGGATTCCCGCAGGAGGGCTAAAGTGCTGCTGGGTCCCAGCCCCGTCGCTCACCCTCGCTTGGCGGGTCTTCAATTCTGATGTAACTAACTGTCAAGCATAGAAATTGGGGTCTGCCCTGGCTGTGCAGAGGTAGGGAAGGCCCCACTTCCGCTAGCCATGCTACTGCCAAGGCAGTTCCCCCAAGGCTTGTCTGCACAGGGAAATTGACTTAACTTGGCTGTTCCACAGTAGTCATTCCGCTATGCCGGAATAACAATTCTGCTCTAATGTAGCTAATCTGGACTAATTCCCCATGTGGATATTCTTTTCTTGAATAAAAGTGATTTAATTACAGAGTAATTACTCCCAAATAATTACTTCCAAAGCGAGTAATTATTCTGGAATAAAGTCACTTTTGTTCGGGAATAGAGTGTCCAGCTGGGGGAGTTGTCGACACAAAAATAATAAATCAGTTTCCGTTTTTGTCCTCCCTTTAATCTGTAAATTAATCCAGAATTAAAGCAAATTTTCCACTTCCCCAGTAGATGGCATCATTAGACTACTTTTTCTACCGTCCACTCCCCCAAAAAGATATTACTGTTATTATGCATTGTTTGTATTAGGCTAGTACCCGTTGCAGATACCGTCTCTCTAGGCCACTGAGCAAATATGAGGGACCCAGGATACTAGGTATTGTGCATGCATAGAACAAAAAATTGCCCCTCGCTATCTAAGGCCACATCTATACTACATCTATACTGCATCTGAAGAAGTGAGGTTCTTACCCATGAAAGCTTATGCTCCCAGTACTTCTGTTAGTCTCAAAGGTGCCACAGGACCCTCTGTTGCTTTTTCCAGATTCAGACTAACACGGCTACCCCTCTGATATCTATACTACAGGGACTATAGAGGCATAGGTACAGTGCTGCAGCTATACTGACAACCTTGTAGTGCAGACACAGCCTACGGTGACATAAGGGGCTTTTCCACTGTAGGAACACCACCTCCCTGAGCGAGGGTAGTTGTGTCTACACCTGGAGTTAGGCCTGCATACCTACATCGTTGCATTGTCCAGGGGTGTGGATTTTTCACATCCCTAAGCAATGTAGTTATGTCAATGTAAATTTTAAGTGTAGAGCCGATCTAAGACTAAGCCGAGACAACAGTTTAATATAACAAACAGCTGGAGGGAGGCCATGCAAATAATGAGGCAGTTATGATTATGTCTAAGGACTATGTAATTAGCAGCCATCACAGAACTTCAGCAGCCTGTTACCAAGCATTTAGTATTTAGCAGCGTAGGTTGGTTTTAATAAGAGATTTAAAAGAGGCCAATGTGGTTGCTTTCAGTTTTTCATAGCGAGCGCCTCTCATGCAGAAGGAGCAGTATGGGAGAAAGATTTTTGCAGCTGCATTTTGAATGGCTAAAATGGCTTTGTTTTGACTGGAGACGTTGGTCAGTGTTTGAGGTGGAGGCTGCTTAACCGTTTCAGTCACCTGTTTACAATGGCTTCTTTATATTTATCCTGAATGCAAGGTGGCAGTTACACCCCGCCCATAATATCGGGGTTTAGCCTGACCCATAACATTTGTCATATACAGCACCTTTCATCCAGAAGACAACATGCTGTTTACTAATTCTATACAGAAATCACTTCTACTTTTGAAAGGCAGCCATCTCTGGGGGGAAATGCCGCAGGTGCTTAACAACGTTATGCAACTACATGAGACAGGAAGCTGAGGAGAATGCCATCATGCAAGGAAAATTAAGGAAGCAGAATGTAATCTAAGTTATAATTTGGCTGGGACAGTGGGGCTAACACCACGATTCTAACAAAAATTGCCTTAGGAGCTTTAGTGTTGGGACCTCAATTATTCATTTCTTCTGAAAAAACATGCTGCTTGCAGCAGAGGGTGCTCCTTAGCTGCACATTAGGGCATCAGTTCAGTACTGACTCAGACCAAAAATGGCCAGCTACTGACTAACTAGCACTATGAGACTCTTGTCAGGGCTCCCATTTAAACAGTAACCCTGCTCAGCTTGTGAAAGCTACTAGGATACACTGCACAAGGCTACAAGTCTTGCAGTACCCTAATGTCACAGATGTAAAGAGGGAATTTCTTGGAACTGATTAGGGAATAAAGCAGAACAGGTTTCAGAATCTGTAGTGGTATATTTTGAAGTAGTATGTCTTGGAAAGGTTTGCTGAGGGGAGAACACAGTTTGGTTCAGTTGGAGCCCATGCTGTGCTCACTGATCTTTCTCCCGGTTGTTTTATTGCATCTTCTTTGAGCGTCTTATAGTAACTGACAAGGTTGATTTATTTTACTAGAACGTGACAGCACCCAATGGGTTAAACTGTGACAGAGGAAACCAGACTTCTCCTTCTGGGGTGTGACTGCGACTACATCTGAAAGATCAAAATTAAAAAAGAAGATTCACACTCTGAGATGATTATGGAAGGAAATTATGCAACAAAGAGAGGGCTTATTGGAACTGTTGTGTTACCTCCCAGCTCACTGCCTCCTTGGTAAGGAAACTACAGGCTGGAAAGAACCTCTGTACAAACAAGTTTCAGTGTGGAAGCCATGTTAGTCTGTATCAGCAAAAAGAACGAGGCTAGCCCACGAAAGCTTATTCTTAAATAAATTTGTTAGTCTCTAAGGTGCCACAAGTACTCCTCGTTCTTTCTGTACAAACAGGCTCCCATAATTATTCTCCTGCTGATTTCCACAGTAAAATGCGTTCCATCTAACCAGGCTCTTTCTACCTGCCAACCCTGCAGGTGCAGCCTGGTCATGTGAACAACTGAAATCAGGTCCTTTCTGTTGCACACTATTGTCAACTGAACTCAAAGTCTCTGGATAATGACCATGGGTGAGGTGGACTAGAATGGAGATGATGAGAAGAAACACACAGTGCCCTCAACTCCTATAGACGTCAGTGGACATTCTAGTTTAGCCTATCTAGGTTCTTATGCTATGTTATTAACACTCAGCACTTTGCAGGATCTGGCCTGTAAGAAGAAGGAAGTATAGGTTGCAGATTCTCCATGGCCTATTTATTTACATGCTTACGTCCAGTCAATCTCTGTTATGCAAAACACTTAAGCGCCTGCAATGGGACTGTTTAGAATGATCAAGTTTGCTGTGGAAATCAGTGAACCTTACACCTGTGTAAAATGGGTGTAAAACTCTACCGTTCTACACTCACTTGACAGCATTTTGCACAGGCAGAATTGACTACACAGGGTGCAGGGTGATGGAGAATCAGGTTACAGCTACTTTTGGGTGGGGTCAAATCTTGGTTGCTTTCCTCACTAGACTTCAGTGGCTCTTGTCACAAGGGTTTGGCCCTTGGGCAGTCATGTAACCGTAACCCTGCTATGGAAGATGCTGCGAAGTGGAAGTTACCACAGTGGCCCAAGGCAGGTCTCTTCTCTTGCTTCATTTCCCTCCAACAAAACAAGTTTGTATGGCCAACTTCCCTTTTTCTCCTGGACTACTCAGCTTAGATTGTCATCACAGCACAGAGAAGGAGGTTTATGTATGCAAGCAAGATGGGAGACATAAACGTCATTAAGATACACAGGGTTTTCAGCTGAATGGGAGATTTTGTGATGCGGGATTTTGGATAAACAAGTTTTTCAGCTGAAAGTTATTTATATATTTATTCATTTTTTATTTTGATGTGTTCAGTTTTCCACATCTTCCAGCCTCCCAACCATGGCTGCTGGGAGTAGACTTGGATGAAATGGACACTTTCTGCTTTTCAGGATTTTGCTCCGCTGAAAAAAGGTTGGAAAGAGCGGCATCCGGATACGGAATTGAGTGAGATTCCTGCAGCGCACCCGAAATGCCATGGAAAGGTAGGTATGCAAGGCAGACTCAGAGAAATGAACGTGGTGTTCTGGGTTTGGCAGTAAATGGGCAGAGGATTGTGGCAGGGAAGCAGGGACTTAGGAGAGATCAGATATTGCCATTCACTGCGAAGTATGGTGACGAAAAGGGATAGATAAAAACAAGATCAGGGAGATGAGCAACTGGCTGGAGCCAGAGACTGGAAATGATACAGAGCCTTTCAGGCGGAGATCACTGTTCAAAGTTAGCTCCTTTCCAACAGTAGTTATTGTCTGGTGATTGGCTTTTGTCAAAGGAGGTGATGGCTTAAATCCAGTCCCAAATGGACAGGCATTTACATCACAGAGACCACCAATTGCCCTGCTGGTTGGCATACTCAGCAAAGAGCCCAAGGGCTGAATAGACCTGAAGACTAAAACTACCCCCTCACCCCTTCTGCCCAGGTGGGGATAGTGCAGGAGAAGCTACTTCCTCACTGTCTGTGTTGCATAGAAGCTGGGGTTGGGAAAAGATTGTCACTGTCCAAGGGCTGCCAGGCTGGCACCTTTTGCCTGTACTAGATTCACATCAAATTTATATTTAAAAAAAAATCATTTTAAAAGAGCGAGAGGCTGAAAGTTACCGAGTCACAGACATTTTCAGATTGCGGGTTCCACTGACCTGTGTATCGTTACCAACACTGTGGCTGCTGCTGCTTGTGGCCTCTGGCTGTGCCCAGCATGTGGAGATGCTGCTCAAACTGCTCTCCTCTGCTGGTTCGTTTCCTCTCCAGGAGGCTGTTTAACTTGGAGGAGGCAGAAGGCACATGTACTGAAAACAGGATCAGTTTTATTCCCTCCTCTCCCCTTCTCTATGTTCCTCACTATCCCTGTTTCTCTCTTATTCCCACCACCCCACCCTTCTGCCTTCCTTGGTATTTCCTTACATGTCCCATCTCACATTGCAGCCCCCACGTCCTGTACTGGAAAGGGAGGGTTGTAGTGATTATTCTTCCAGGGCTTTAATGTCAGTGGGAAGTGCTGGTAAGTGTAACACATGCAAACCTTGGGATATCCATAGGCTAGAGAAGGCAATAGTTGAGAGATCTAGAACAGTGGTTCTCAACCAGGGGTACATGTACCCCTGGGGGTACGCAGAGATCTTCCACGGGGTACATCAGCTCATCTAGATATTTACCTAGTGTTACAACAGGCTGCATAAAAAGCACTAGCAAAGTCAATACAAACTAAGGTTTCATACAGACAATGATCTGTTTATACTGCTCTATATATGATACACTGAAATTTAAGTACAGTATTTGTATTCCAATTGATTTATTTTACAATTATATGGTAAAAATGAGAAAGTCAGCAATTTTTCAGTACTAGTGCGCTGTGACACTTTTGTATTTTTATGTCTGATTTTGTAAGCAAGTAATTTTTAAGTGAGGTGAAACTTGAGGGTACGCAAGACAAGTCAGACTCCTGAAAGGGATACAGTAGTCTGGAACGGTTGAGAGCCACTGGAAAACACAGGTTTAAAATGCCCATGGTCTGTGGGGTCAGTTTGAAATCCTGGCAATATGGCTCAGCCCTCAAATGAAATTAGTTCCAGGGAGTTTACTGTAGAAGACCATAATTACTAACCTTTGGCAGAAGTTGATTTTTTTAAATATAATTTCAGCAGATCATATCTATGTTTAAGCATTTTTTTTATTTTGATCGATTAAAATGTTAGCAGTTGGACAAAATTATGAGGTTTCAGCTTTTTTTATCAATTTAAATGTTTACAGTTGCAGGAAAGTATGTGGTCATCAAACATTAGGGGGTCAGGCAGTAGTTATTTAAGGACAGTTTCAAAAGTTAAAGCTTTATAAAGAAAATTTTCAACAACACATGTCAACATATACAAAGTAGATATCCTTAAATCAAGCTCTCGTAAGTTTTCAAGCAGCATTTTTCATACTTTACCTATTTGTAAATTTTTTTCATCAATTTCTGTTAGTGACATTTACTAATAAAAATCCTAGCCTTCCAAGCCTAAAAATAACGGAGGTCTCATCCTCTCTGCATGGATATGCAGGATGGGGGCCTGATTTTCAGAGATGCTGAGCATCTGTAGCTTGCTTTGACTTTGAAAATTAGGCTCTATGTAAATGTAAATGTTATAACACTCTTGTAATTAACCAAACCGAGCACTAGAGGTCACTGATTCAAAATGAAAAACAATCAGAAAATTCATTAGCGCTCTGGAAATGAAAATAAAAATTAAAACTCAAAGGGAAAAGCTAACACATTACACATAAGTTTATAGGGGTCGAACCTATCAGTGGTTTGAGCATTGGCCTGCTAAACCCAGGGTTGTGAGTTCCATCGTTGGGGAGGGGGGCGCTATTTAGGGATCTGAGGCAAAAATCTGTCTGGGGATTGGTCCTGCTTTGAGCAGGGAGTTGGACTAGTTGACCTCCTGAGGTCCCTTCCAACCCTGATATTCTATGATTTTATTGAACCCCATCCTGCAATGAGATTTGGACACTTCAGGAGATGGATTTCAGAGCAGCAGCCATGTTAGTCTGTATCCGCAAAAAGAACAGGAGTACTTGTGGCACCTTAGAGACTAACAAATGTATTAGAGCATACACTTTCGTGGACTACAGCCCACTTCTTCAGATGCATCCGAAGAAGTGGGCTGTAGTCCACGAAAGCTTATGCTCTAATAAATTTGTTAGTCTCTAAGGTGCCACAAGTACTCCTGTTTTTTTTTTCAGGAGATGGAGAATCCATCACTTCCCCTGGTAGTTAATCACCCCCACCGTTCAAAATTTGTGCCTTACTATTTCTCATTTGAATTTGCACCAGCAAACAAACCTTTAGGGCCATTGCATCAACCCAGGGGGAGCAGACGCTCTGGGGAGCTGAGATCCAGGACTTCTGAATTTTTATTCTAAAGTTTCTTTCCATTTTACTTCAACAGGAAAAAGAGAGCGAGGAGAGACAACAAATAATTGGGGGATGTAATCAGACTTGTTCTGCAGTGACATCTGCTTTCCCATTGCCACCCATGCTCTGCTCCCTAGATCAGAGCTGCCCGGCAGCTTTTCAATAGCTCCAATATTTGGATTGCAGGTAGGTGTCTGTGGTGTGCCTTGCAAGCATGCACCAGGCCTTGCACATTAGATAAGGACATGCATAGTTCAGTGCAGAGAAGTGTGCAGAGTGGGGTCTTGCTTTATTTAATGTACATTTTAAAGATGCACTGTTTTTTTAAAATGCACAGGTGTGGTGTGCATGGGAGACTTACCTCATTCAATGCAAGCCATGTCTCGTTCATGGAACCCTTTCTGTCTGCCTATCTGGGTGTGTGTTTACTACCTGAGTGGCTTGTATGATGTGCAGATAGTGAGGCAAGGCTCCTCTAAGGGTATGTCTATACTTACCTCTGGGTCCGGCGGTAAGCAATCGATCTTCTGGGATCGATTTATCGCGTCTTGTCTAGACGCAATAAATCGATCCCCGAAGTGCTCGCCGTCGACGCCGGTACTCCTGCTCCACGAGAGGAGTACGCGGAGTCGACGGGGGAGCCTGCCTGCCGCATGTGGACCCGCGGTAAGTTCGAACTAAGATAGTTCGACTTCAGCTACGTGAATAACGTAGCTGAAGTTGTGTATCTTAGTTCGAAGTGGGGGTTAGTGTGGACCAGCCCTAACTCTCATCTCACTCACTGCCCATCCTGTGAGGGACACAGAGAATGAGGCAGGGTTCTGTGTAAACCCTCTACGGTAAAAAAAAGCCTGGGTGTTGAAAATAAAAGGCATCTTGGGTGAAAGTGATCATGAAATCATAGAGTTCACAATTCTAAGGAAGGGTAGAAGGGAGAACAGCAAAATAGAGACAATGGATTTCAGGAAGACGGATTTTGGTAAGCTCAGAGAGCTGATAGGTAAGGTCCCATGGGAATCAAAACTGAAGGGAAAAACAACTGAGGAGAGTTGGCAGTTTTTCAAAGGGACACTATTAAGGGCCCAAAAGCAAGCTATTCCGCTGGGTAGGAAAGATAGAAAATGTGGCAAAAGACCACCTTGGCTTAACCACGAGATCTTGCATGATCTACAAAATAAAAAGGAGTCATATAAAAAATGGAAACTAGGACAGATTACAAAGGATGAATATAGGCAAACAACACAGGAATGCAGGGACAAGGTTAGAAAGGCAAAGGCACAAAATGAACTCAAACTAGCTACAGGAATAAAGGGAAACAAGAAGACTTTTTATCAATACATTAGAAGCAAGAGGAAGACCAAGGACGGGGTAGGCCCACTACTCAGTGAGGAGGGAGAAACAGTAACAGGAAACTTGGAAATGGCAGAGATGCTTAATGACTTCTAAGGTTTAGAAGATAAAATAAAAAAAGAACAAGTTAAAAATCACTTAGAAAAGTTAGATGCCGGCAAGTCACCAAGGCCTGATGAAATGCATCCTTGAATACTCAAGGAGCTAATAGAGGAGGTATTTGAGCCTCTAGCTATTATCTTTGGAAAATCATGGGAGACAGGAGAGATTCTAGAAGACTGGAAAAGGGCAAATATAGTGCCCATCTATAAAAAGGGAAATAAAAACAACCCAGGAAACTACAGACCAGTTAATTTAACTTCTGTGTCAGGGAAGATAATGGAGCAAGTAATTAAGGAAATCATCTGCAAACACTTGGAAGGTGGTAAGGTGATAGAGAATAGCCAGCATGGATTTGTAAAGAACAAATCATGTCAAACCAATCTGATAGCTTTCTTTGATAGGATAACGAGTCTTCTGGATAAGGGAGAAGCGGTGGATGTGGTATACCTAGACTTTAGTAAGGCATTTGATACAGTCTCGCATGATATTCTTATCAATAAACTAGGCAAATACAACTTAGATGGGGCTACTATAAGGTGGGTGCATAACTGGCTGGATAACCATACTCAGAGAGTAGTTATTAATGGTTCCCAATCCTGCTGGAAAGGTATAACAAGTGGAGTTCCGCAGGGGTCTGTTTTGGGACCATCTCTGTTCAATATCTTCGTCAACGACTTAGATATTGGCATAGAAAGTGTGCTTATTAAGTTTGCAGATGATACCAAACTGGGAGGGATTGCAACTGCTTTGGAGGATAGGGTCATAATTCAAAATGATCTGGACAAATTGGAGAAATGGTCTGATGTAAACAGGATGAAGTTTAACAAAGACAAATGCAAAGTGCTCCACTTAGGAAGGAACAATCAGTTTCACATATACAGAATGGGAAGAGACTGTCTAGGAAGGAGTACGGCAGAAAGGGATCTAGGGGTTATAGTGGACCATAAGCTAAATATGAGTCAACAGTGTGATGCTGTTGCAAAAAAAGCAAACATGATTCCGTTGTGAGTAAGACACGAGAAGTCATTCTTCCGCTCTACTCTGCACTGGCTAGGCCTCAACTGAAGTATTGTGTCCAGTTCTGGGCACCGCATTTCAAGAAAGATGTGGAGAAATTGGAGAGGATCCAGAGAAGAGCAACAAGAATGATTAAAAGTCTTGAGAACATGACCTATGAAGGAAGGCTGAAAGAATTGGATTTGTTTAGTTTGGAAAAGAGAAGACTGAAAGGGGACATGATAGCAGTTTTCAGGTATTTAAAAGGGTGTCATAAGGAGGAGGGAGAAAACTTGTTCACCTTAGCCTCTAAGGATAGAACAAGAAGCAATGGGCTTAAACTGCAGCAAGGGAAGTTTAGGTTGGACATTAGGAAAAAGTTCCTAACTGTCAGGGCCTTCATTAGGCCTTTACTTACTACATTG